TTTTTTAACTAACTCTTCTGTGATTTTATTTTGGCTTGGCTGATTTTGTTCATACTTGACAGGTAGGTCGTTCCATCGCTAATTGGAAAAACAATCCTTACCCACCGCTCCAAATTTATTACCTCCTACCAGTCTTGTAATATCAGTGTTCAAATGATCATGCCTTTCATTTTGGCTACGTTGCGCACTGGTAAAATATCACCGGCGCCGACATTGTTACACTGAATCAACGTAATCCCAACGCAGCTTTGAATGAAAGGTAAATGTTGCCTCCAATCTAGAAAATACTATCGCAAAACGATTGGAAATAATACATTTAACGGCAGAATACGTCCAAGCAATATAATAAGGTGATTTTAAAGACTGAATGTTATTTTGCGAACTTCGTATATGGTGCCCGGTTTTAGTTATAAACCAACGTTAGCTTCACGTTCATGTCCTGCCATGGTAACAGCCAAGAACATGTTGCTTGTTTTTTAGCAGAGCGGACCGCCAACCAGCCTACCGGCTTGTTTTCATTGGCAACCGTACAAATTTTCGTCTGCTATTTTTATCCAGTTCAAATCGGTCAGCAACATTTTTGGCATATTAGATGTACACCACATGGAATACTACGATTGAGAGAACTTGATGTGTGTTGACTGAGCTTTATCATAGACCATCAACATCAAAGTACCAGGAGGTTTCTGCTGGCGACGGTGCGGCGTTACCCAGTTCCAAATAAAGATTACCAAATGAGCGACATTTTTACCGGAAATCAAGATTCGTCCAATCCACGGCTAACAAGCAACATCACAAGCGAAGTTGTAGCTAGCGTGCAGCTCATCAACAACTGCTGTCGACGAAAGTCATTCCGTAGGTGGAGTACCGCAGTTGTGACGGCATGTTTGCCAATGCACAATTCTGTGGAGGAACTTTTAACTTAATTTAAACTACGTATGACTGATTCAAAACATTCTATCGAGATCGGACGGTGCCCTATCGTACCAGTCCTTCACCATTGTATTCAAACGAACCACGTGGTGTGCTGTTACATTCTCCTTCAAACCCGAGATTCAACAATTAGTTTTAATAAAAAAAAACATCGCAAATCATGCAAATTTAGCATTTTTAAACCAGTATACTAAAAAAGAAATGCTCAGCGATGCAAAAGAAGGATAGATATTACTTTTCAGTATACACATCTCTGTTTATACAATCCTTCACCTATTCTACTCCCAATTTTTCCTGCGTAAAATGGAACAGCCTCTTTCCATGTTGACATTCTGAGTAAAATCACGTGATTGGCTGTTACATACTATTTCGCCGGTCTGGAAAATATGGGAGTGAACCTAGCTCGAATCTGCCATTAAAAAATAGGGGTGTTTTAAGCAAAAAACGAATAACCCTTGAGTGCACACAATACACTGAATTTCAGAACAAATCTTGCATTAGTTACAGCAGCAGAATACCACAGAAATATCAGACGAAACATGAAAACACTATATATTGTATTTCGGCCTGAACCCTCTCTATTGCAATTCCAAGGATTACCCCCATATGTGCAACCATTTTCCACCTTTGTATCACCCAACCCTGAAAACAAATTCTTAATACCACGCTGAAGCGTTTGGTAAAAAGGTGTCCCAAAACACCAATAAACCTGAAAATATCATCTCAGAGTACAACTTTGTTATACATTATATCTGTTCAGTTGTGTTTCAGTTTAATTTGTGTTCACTATCACCCTGTTGTATCCAACTGCAGGGTTTTGGAATCAATGGCACATAATAGCTTATCACAAGAATACCACAAATTAACTTGAAATCAGTACGTTGATTATATTGGCTGACGCTTAGTTCAGGTTGAACCATACTACCTGGATTCTTACTTTGCGGTATTATGTATTGTATTCTGTACTTGATAATTTGTGACCCTTGACAAGTCTCATTTTTTTGCTTGGATCCCGACACCTGCGACTTAGCGAGAGGTTACTAGAATTCTTAAATTAACGGTAGAGTCAAGATCTGAGGTTTAAATCTGATTCTGAGAATGCAGTGTACATCATTGAAGTAGAAATCTCATTCCAAGACTGGTATTTGGATCTCAGGTAAAAATATGAAATAACAATTGTTCATGTGATATTTACCTTTGTATAGAATCTCAGTTCTCATTTCTCCTGTTGACAGGTTGGCTTCCTGTTGAAAGCAAGGACAGACAGTATTGCTGGCACAGCAGCACTTTTGATGTTAACTATGGAATTGCTGTGGTTTTAAAATCCAGTAACGATGGCAACCAGTATAGCATGGAAGTAACAATAGTTGAGCTGTCTGAATTACTGGAGCAGACCTTAGAATTGATTGGAACCAATATTAATGGCAACCCATATGGTGTGTATATTATGATAGTCTCCTAAGTTCTTTGAACATCAAAACAAAATGCGATACAATTTAAATATTTAATATATTTGATATTTAATTTTGCATCAAATGAACATTTCCCATTGCCTGATCAAAATTGTTTAAAAATAAGGACAGAAGGTTTACAAACAATGACTAAAAGTTAAAAAGGGTAATAATGCTGATAATCCAATACCTCATAAAACTTCTGTCTTGTCTGTTCTTTAGCACCGCAAAATTTGAATGTTATGTCATACCAGATTGGCATGAGAGGGCGCCGTCCGATCTGGGTTGAACGTTTCAGTCGTCTGTAAGCCTTTGTCGAAGAAACAACGTCCCTTTTATAAACAGATGATTTCTTTACAGAATATTCCACAACAAAACTTAGAAACATCATATAGAAAAATACAGGCTTTAAAATTATGTCTATTGCAAAACAAATAAACCGACAACCAGTTTGACGCCACAATTTCTTGCTGTTCCACACGCATGTTCAAAAATGTGCCAGTTTCAAATAGTACTAGAGTGAAATATCAACGTGCCTCTGCATTCTCCATGAATTTCGTAACTTGCTTCGATCAAGGTAAAGAAAAAACCTGTGGTCACTTTCAACAGTTACATCAGTTTTTCGATTATTTTTTCAGTTCGTAGCATCAGAACTACCATGTGTGCTATCGAAAAACATTTTGGCACTATTTTACTGAAAAGACAGAATTTTCATTGAATATGAATATTGCAAATGAGACAGATATTTCAAGCAATTGTGTCATGCAACTCCCTCCCTGTGTCATACATTTCTGTGCAAATCTCACGAACCATGCAGTTTAATATTTTATTCAGAAAAAGCGCTAGTACAAGAATTGTAATTGGATACCGTGGAACAAATTTTATAAGATATTGATAATTTTTTTCAATTTTAATCCATCTCTATTTGTAGGTTTGGGATGCAAACGTAATCCAATTCATGTGCTTGTTCCACATGGTGTTATTCAGTTTCCATCATCAATACCAATCAGTTATGATGAATTAAAGTTATGGTTTGAATCTTCAGATGAAGGCAAAGTAGAAGGAATTGTTTGGCACTGTAAAAATCAACAATTATACAAGGTAAGCTTGTTAGTTCACCATGATAATAAACACTTCATACCTTTTCCTATTTTTTTTATTAATAGTACATGTATAGCTTCTAATTTATGAACTACATTTATTTATTGACACAACACTGACTTTGCAAGGAGTGAATATAAAGCCCAAGATAATTTGTTGTTGAGCTTGAAGCGAGGAAGTCGTCACCTGCACATGCGTCAGATGGCTATAGCATGTCATTGTTTAGAAACAAGCGTCCACCCATGAGCCTTTGAGTTTTAAGTATGCGATGTTATGTTGTTGTGCGCAGGTGATGACCATCTACTTTATGATTTTGAGCCTTGTATTAAAATCAAATAGATTCAATGCATCGCCTGCTGAAAGCCTTCTCTTATACCTGATATGTAGAAGATATCTAATGAGTGACC